TATGATCTTGTTTTTGCAAGTCCGGTATCATTTCCACTGTTTTGTTGGGTTGGGTTTTATTCTCTTTTGTTTTGTTTGGCTATGTCGAATCTGATGGCATGAAAAGCCACTTCAAAGATAGCAAGATATATTATGGTAGCAATTTTGGATTTACTATTGGCTGTTTTTAAGTCCTTAATTAAATCCATTGTTTTGTTTTTATTGCTTCTATTCTATTCTGTTTTGTTTGATTTTTACTATGTCAGAAGTTACCTGCAGCTATTGTGAAAACATAAAGGGGCATTATGGGAGACCGGGCCATGTTGGGACTTAGGCAGCTGCACAAGGAGGCAATTTGCTCGCCATCTTGGTAAGCGCCCCTGGGGCCGGTTGGGTGAAAACCACTCTGCTGTTCCCATGAGCCTACCGATGCAGGCTGAGAATCAAACATGTCCCACATCCCCCATCAGCAACTGGGGACAGAGTTCTGAGCATCTCTCGGGAGGATGACCATCTGCAATATAGCAAATAAGGGGGATTTCCTTCTATGTTCTGTTTGAAGGCAAAGTTTATTTTCACTGTTATGATTGTTATGCTCTATTCAATATTCTCCTTCAATTGGTTTTACAATGGTCTGTTATTGGTTTGATTTCGCTACATCTAATTGACTGGACAAGTATTGTGAAGATAATGAGATATTCTGTATCACTACCACCCCAGTATCCTGCTTTGAATTTCTGTACCAATGTTACTACATGGTCTCAAATGGCTTTATCTTGTTCTGTTGTGTTTTTACTACATTCTAAATAAAATTTAAGAAAGGGGGGGCCATTATGGTAACTATCGCTGATTTTGTTTTTTTTTTTTTTTTTTTTACATTTTTACCGGTACCAGGGATCGAACTCAAGACCACAGGCTTGCAAGGCAGGCGCTTATGCTGCTGAGCTAAATCCCCAGCCCCCTATCGCAGATTTTGTAATGTTTTGAAGGCCTGTTTCCCTTGCACTGGTTTGTTTAGATTGGTTTTATTTTGTTTTCTCCTTTTTAAAATTAAAAAAAAAAAAGATTTACACATTCTATATGCCTTTTCAACTATCCTCAAATCAGACATGGTAGTCCACACCTGTAAATCTCAGCAATCAGGAGGCTGAGGTAGGAGGATTGCTGGAAGTTCGAGACCTTGCTACAATAGCAAGGCCCTATTACAAAAACAAAAGAAATAAATAAATAAACTATCCTTAAATTCCCAGGGCCCTCCAGGCTCTAAATGAAATGTGTGTTTTGAATAGGACTCATGAATGAACAATAATGAAGTAGACTAAAGTCAACATTTCTACAAAATTTGACCACTGCCAATTAAATTAATAGTCCCTTAGAAAAACAGGTAGCTTTTTCTGAATTATTCTTTTTTTATTGAAAGAAAGAAAAGAAAATTTAAAAAAACAAAATAGAAAAAAAGGTAGAATACAGAATTAAAAAAAATTAACATAAAATCACTAGTTGACATATTACAAATTGTCATCTTAAAAATACTTATACAAAATCTAAGCATAAAAAGTAGCTAGACACTCAAACATTGACAGTGCAAATCCTTCTATTCAATGAAATTTAGTAATATGGTCATCTATCTCACACAGTATACATACCGTTATATCCTTTAAGAGCACTTTCCTTCCCTTTCACTTTCCCAACATCTACTATACCTTTTGGATCCCATTACTCTGTCAGTTTTTATTATTATCTACATTAGAGAGACAATGTGATATTTACTAATGTTAGTCTTGTTTATTTCACTAATGAGGATATTCTTCTAAATTATTCTTAAAGGAAAAATTTTTATTTTATTGTAAAATTTATAGTTTATTTCCACAGAAAGATAATCATGGCAAGGAAAACTTATTTTTGTTAAGTCACTTTAAATCTGTCATTTCATTGTCAATTACATTAAAAGGCATAGCTACTCATTATCTAATGACTATATTCTTGATAGTCTAGTGTATTAACAGAAATAAGGCACAATGAAATCTTTGTGAATAATCAATAAAGGTATAAAATCAGAAACAATTGAGATTCAACAAAAATTAGGTTGAAAAAAATCAAGTTCGTCACTGTCATTATGACCTTCCCAACAACAAGACCTGGCATGGTGGTGCTCACCTGAGGCAGGAGGATAGCCACAAGCTCAAGGCCAGCCTGGACTACAACAGTAAGATCCTTTCTCGGGAAAAAATAAACAAACAAAACAGCAAGGACTGTAGCATATACTGAGTTCCTGAGTTCGGACACAGTGCCAGACAATACTCTAAACCCTTCCAAAGTAACTCACTGCCCGAGCTAAAGCCACATGGGAGCCTGAAGGCGAATTTGTTCAGAGGCTGGAAAGGAGGTGCTGGAGGTCTGGTTCAAACCTCTGGGCACCACTTGCTTTTCTTCCCAGTGTAGGCCTGCCAGAGCCAGGAGAGACCAGTGCTTGAGAACATCACCTGCACTGACAGTCCAAGGCTGAGCTGGCTGCCTAACCCTGAGGATCCCTGCAGTTCATCAAGTTCTGCACTCTGTTGTTACAGGGATCAGCAGCAACTTCCAGAGCAAGGCTGCATACCCTTTTCTTACCCATTTACAATGCTCTGGAAACAGCAAGTAGTCTGCATCATTACTATTACTACTGTGGATGAAGAGGCTCAGACATGGATAGGTTATAAAGCTAGCATAGGGCTACATAAACCATAAGCTATAGGATCCTCGGGTGGTGGTGACCATGGGAACAAACCACAAAAATCACATCAACTTGAACGCCTTTGTCATGGCAGCATTATAAACAATAGCCAACAAAAACTACAAGCAATGCTGGTGGGTGAATATAATGTGCCACGTATTTACAATGGAAGTTTATTCAGACAGGGGAGGAGATAATGTAAAATGATTTTTCTCCTTTTGCATGTTGTACAACACATACTTTCTATTTTAGTAAAACAAGGATCAAATCTATGAAGATTTTCAGTGTTCTTAACAACTACAAATCTTACAGAGATTAGCAGTATTTGAAATTCATAGTTCAGTAGCATTCATAACAAACCTCAAAATGAGGAAGTCAGAGCTAATGATGTACAAATTACCTGCTCCCAAAATACTGTTGGTGACTTGACAAGTGCCATAAGGTTTCACGGCTAAACAAATGTTGGATTAGGAATGTTAAAAGCCCATGCAGTTCTTTTAGTAAAAGTGACAAGGAAAATTACCCAAGAACAGCTGCCAAGGTTCCAGCAGTGTCAGGCTTGGCCCTCTGCCCTCTGCAGCAGGGTGCCTTCACAAGCTGTTGGTTAGCCGAATGTGATGGCACATGCCTGTAATTCCAGCACTCAGGAAGCTGAGGCAGGAGGATTGCTGTGAGTTCAAGACCAGCCTGGGATACCAAGCAAGACCCTATCTCAAAAACACTACACACACACACACACACACACACACACACACACACACACACACAAAGTTGTTGGCTGCCTACTGATGAAAGTGCTAAGTCATACTCTTGTTTCTACAGGGAAATACTCTTTCAGCTGTAGACAACCAAAATATGAAACTATTTTGGAACTCCTAAACTTTTGCATAAAGGATTAATGTAGCAGTCGAGAAAACAAGACTTTTATTTTGTACTAAAAAAGAATTCTGGTCTTTGAGAAAGAAAAAGAGTTTAATAATAGCTGCAGACTACTAATGCTGTCATCACAATCTGCAGCGGTACAATATATATATATACTTAATATGCAGAAAAATACAATATGCTGGGTATAAAAAACAGGATATACACTTCAGACGCATTTTTCATTATCGGTATTTTGCAGAAAGTATCTCAAACTGGAATATAATCATAAAGTAATAAAGCCTATCATTATATTCCCATCCCATCAGAAAACAAAATTGAAATTTTTAGTTATATGGAACGAGTACTGCTCAAATAACTTAGCCTGATCAAACCTCAGTTTTCTCTGTAAAACAAGCACTGCATCATGTCTCTCACAAAAGATCACAGGAAGCAAATAAAGTACATAACTTCTTCTTTTTTTTTTTTTTGTCTTTTCGTTTTTATTGTACCAGGGATCGAACTCATGACCGCACACTTGCAAGGCAGGCGCTTATGCCACTGAGCTAAATCCTCAACCCCAAAAGTACATAACTTCAATTGACCAGCAGGTCTACTTCTTTCAAAGTGCAGAGAAAGAAGAAAGGGCCATCACATTAAGCAGCACAGTGGGCAGAGTGGAAGAAACACACTGAGGGAGGGAAGCCTCAATGGACTGCTAAAGGAAACAGAAAACAGATTTATATAACAACCACAACAGAGTCAAGTAAGAAAGAGAACCTCCTTCTAGCTTAAACACACAAAACCTTAAACATTGACACTTTAAACACTGACACAGGGGCTAGGGATATAGCTCAGCAGCACAAGCACCTGTTTGGCAAGTGTGAGGTTTTGAGTTCAATCCCTGGTACAAAAAACAAAAAAACCACTGACATACAACAGAATAACTACAACAGCAATAGCTTCAAAACATGATTGCTTAGACATAAAAGTAAAACATTATGATGATCTAACTCAGTGAATACATAAATATAATAGATAGTACATAGGAAAGAAGCAGATTATGTCAAAATGGTGAGCTGAATGCGGCCCCAAATTGCTTTTATGCCCTTTATACCTACTCCATGAAACAATCAACTCTTATTTGTCCCATCTCACAAAAAGAAGTGACTTCAGGAACCAAGTTAACCAATAAATCAACACAAATCAACCCACGTAATCAGCAGGGCTAAGAGCCAGAAAGATCTCAAGTCCTTAATACTGCTACAATGGCTGGCTCCTGCTTTTCTTCCACTTTTGTTTTTGAAGACTAGGTCTCTATGTATTCGGGGTAGCCTTGAACCCATGGTGATCCTCCTGCCTCAGCTTCCATGTTCAGCTATAATGATTTTTTAATTAAACAAGTAGCAAAATCAAAACCTCAAAACTTGAAATAGTATCTTACCAAGGTGATGTCTCGGGAAGCAGCAGCTGCACTCATGTGCAAGCTCGGCTGCCTCACAGAGCTGCTGCAATCAAGGGCTCGAGCAAACGTCCCCACGGCACTAAAGAAGCCAAACACAAACAGGAAACATTAAGCTTGTCATTTTCTTGTTTTAAAATTAAAAAAACTTTGAGTACTGAACGATAAATTAAAAAAAAGAAAGACAAAACAAGTTGTTTAATGTTTGAGAATGAAATTAAAAATTTTTTTCTATAAAAGTGGCTATGGGTTTAACAAGCATAATCTGAAAATCAAAAGTGTTCCAAAACCTAAAACTCTGCATAGGATGCAAGTGGAACTCCACATCCTGAAGCTTTGTTTCATGTACAAAATCACTGAAAATATTGCAAAAAGTTGCCTTCTGCTATAGTAATAAGCTACACATGAAATGTAGTGTCCTTATTTAGACTCGGAAACCATCTCCAAGGCATCTAATTATATATATGTACATATTCCATAATCCAAAAATTGAAATCGCAAATGCTTCTGGTCCCAAGCATTTTAGACAACAGACATTATCATGTAACTGACAAGTTAATTTACTACCTACAGAGTTAATTATAACTAAATCAAGAAAAAATAACTTGTGTGGACATAAAGGAAGAAAGGGAAGACCTATCATAAAATGCCACTGAATAAATCATTCAGTAATCACGTGTGCTCAAAAAAACTGCAAGTTATAATCCCCCTTTAACCTAATCATGAAATCCCAATAAAACTTTTTCCCTAGCATGAGATAGCATTAATTAGCAATCCTTATGAGCACTCAATATATATAATAGACTTGTATTAAATCCTATTTTTAAAAGGCAGGCAATTTACAGAATGCTGATTTTCATTTATAGCAATTTATAAGGTCTTCCTGTGATGTAATGCAGAACCTCACCCTCAAGCGTGTAGTACACGAAGAAGAGACTCACTACCCACTGTCTGCATTTTACCTGATATTTTTAACATTTTAATTAACACATACACCAAAAACTATTGCCATATACAGTTAATCGCAAAGTGAGTGTACTCAGGTTACCAGCATCAAAGCGTAGGAACACAATGCAACTAGGCGCAGCAGACTCCTGTGCTCCTTTCCAATTTCTACCTCAGCTTCCTTCTCAACAGGAACCACCACTATGGACTCAACACCACATACTAGTTTTGCACATATTTAAAAAAAAATTTTTTTTTGGCTCACACAATATACAGACAATTTTAATGATCAGCTTCCTTAGTCTAAAATTGTGTTTGCAGAGTCACCTGTGTGGCCAAATGGAGCATTTTCCTTGCTTTGGAGCATTCTTTTGGGTTTCTACTCTCCATCCCCTCCTATACCACTGATCAATATTACATGCTGCTCCCACAATGATTAATATCACTAATGCCATCTGAGTATGCACAGATGTATGCATTTCTGTGGATATAATTTTAAGAAGTGAAACGTAAGAGATATTCATTAAGTGACAGTACAGTACATCCCCGAAATTCATGGGGGTTACATTTGTAGAGCACCAGAAAACTGCACAAAACCTTGAATCCATCAAAAACCAATTGCAGAGGATATTTGTGATTTCAGAGAAATCGCAGGGGGTTTCTGAGAACAATTATTAGTTAGAGTCTAAGGAAAACTCTGGGAACAAAACTGAGGCTACAAACTGAACTGCAATTTCACAGGGATACTGCAAATAGCTTGTCCAAGCAGCTGAACTAGTCTGTAGGCACACAAGCTGGGTGTGAGAACGCTGACTGTTCCATATCTTCATTACTCCTTGGCACTTTAAAATTCAGCCTTTCCAGAGTGGTGCATGCCTGTAATTCCAGCACTTGAGGAGACTGAGGCAGGAAAACTGCTGAGAGTCTGACGCTAGCCTGGGATACACAGTGAGTTCAAGGAAAACCTGAATCACACAGCAAGATCCTGTCTCAAAAACAACCAAAGATAAATAAATAAACATTGGCCTTGACCAAGTGTGGTAGCAAAGGTCTATAATCTCAACACCTGGAAGGCTGAGGCAAGAAGATCTGCAGGCATTCAAGGCAAGTCTGGGCTACTTAATGAGTTCAAAGCCAGCCCAAACTACAGTGAGACCCTGTCTCAAAAAACAAAAACAAAACAAATGAAATTGGCCTTAATTTATATTTACAAAGTATTTTTTTAAAACAAATATTGGAGAAAAAAAAGATACAAGATAATATGCTTTACAACATTCTAGCTTCAAGGAAAAAGAAAACATACCTTTAGCAATGACAAAAGGAAAAAAACAATGCAAATTAAATTTGAACACTTCAAATTGTTTCCTAAAGAATCTATAATTCAGAAACCTTTATTATTGTCTCTAGCCAGGGGTTCCTCCTACGGTTCATTTCTATTTCTGAATCTTCAGAAAACAAAATTCTGCCTTATTCATTCTCCAAAGCAAAGAGGAGCGAAGACAAGCTAGGCAAGCTAAAAGCTCTGAAGAAAAGCCCTAGGCTGCACTTGCGGGCTCCTTCCCACCAGTGCACTGGCATGTGGCTTGATCCAATCCCCTAGAAGGTTGAGCCTCTGACCTCTCACCTTAAAACTTCTGACTCCCTATGTGGTGTGTCCTTCCACAATGACTCTCTATAAACAAGGCTGTCCAAGGATCAGCTAAGACTACTAACGAAGTTCACCAAAAAAAATCAGAATATTATAATGAAGAACTCAGCACCCACTGCCCAAATGTAACTGAGTGTAATATTTGGCTACGCCTGATGATTTGGTAGGGGAGAAAGTCTCAATATGTAAGTCTGGGCTGGCCTTTAACTTACAGCAATCCTCCTTGCCTCCAGAATACTGAGATTACAGGTTGAGCCACAACATCCTGTCCTGTACATTTTTAAAGTACATAATTATCAATTTAACTAGAGTCCCCATATATACATACATCCAAGATTAAATATTCATGAATGTAGTTTTATAAACATGTACCTTAATGATAAATAACTGTTTTACACAATGTATAACTTTATAAATGATCACACTTTATGTACATAAATCATACTGTATCTTTATTCAACAATACTTCTGAGATTTATCTCTTTGCTACACTGAGCTCTAATATATTCATTTTAATGGCTTTAAAGTAACATTCCATTGTATAAGTATGCCTCAATTCTGTCATTGATGGCTTCCTGAAACACTTTTGGGTTTTTTCCAATTTATCCACCATTATGTTATGATAATCTCATTTGCTTTCTGCTTTGTGGCATTTCACCCTGAGAATGACTTACTTTCATAAGTGAAAAAATACAAATAAAATTCTCATTCATTTTCATAAGCAAAGGAGAGGGAAAAGCAAATCAGTCAGGCTGAAAGCTCTCAAAGGCAAGCCCTAGGCTTAGCACGAGGCTTTATGCATGTGTGATAAGACCCTAACCTACATACTTCTGCAGGTACATTTCACTCTATGAAAGCCCTATCCGGATACCATTAAATAAGGGCATTTGAGATGCAGAATTTCTTCATTACGCATTTCTGTTTTCAGAAGGCTGAAGCAAAAAGATAGTGATTTCAAGGTCAGCCTAGGCTACAAAGTAATTACAAAGCCAACTTGGCTGCAAAGAAAAACCCTGCCTCAAAATAGTAGAACAAATCAGGAAACTGAGGCAGGAGGACGGCAGCAAGCTCAAGTGCCAGGCCGGGCTACATATGAGTTCAAGGTGAGCCTGAGGTACAAAACAAAAAAATGTGTTGTTTTCAATATTTGGTAAAAATGAAATCTATTTTCATCTAAAACTGATATACTGACATTAATAACAAATTCTGTTTTTAGGAAGTGATATGACATGAAATACACTATTAAGCTTTCTTACATAACTAGAAAAAGAATGATACAACCAATCTGGGGATAGACTACAAAAAATGGAAAATACATACACCTATAAATTATATCACAAAAAGAATAATCTCTTGATTCACTAATTCCATACTCACCGTGCTACAACTAAAAACTGGTCAATCTGTCGGTCCGTAAGTGGGCTATTTGGATCCCAAACTTTAACCTCCAATTTCGACTGTTCCCTCTCATCTGATTCTCCTGCCCGAGAATAAAGGAAATGGAACACTGTTACACAAAGCACACGGTCACACACAGCTGATGACTGTGTGTGACTCCACAGTACTGGAAATGCTCTTGCGTAAGGTAAACAGTCACAGTTTTGGTACATTCTTTCAGACAGCAGATATACAACACCTGGTAAAGGGAACACCGATGATAATAACCAACCAACTACATGGTATTCATGTAAGCACGCATGTCCATACCTGTGTGAGGCACAAAGGCCCACACCAAGGATGAAGATGAAATAGCAGCTCTGCCACAAGACACCTTGACTACAGTAAAATGCCATTATCAACGTATACGTTACAAAAGAGATGTCAAAGAAACATTATGGTTGCAAGAATCCAAAGATTAGAGAAGTAATTTCAGGCTAGCTAGGAAACAGCACTGTGAACAAGGCAGCAGCAGTTCTATTAAGAACTGATGGTTATGGCCCTGGCATGACGATGTACTTCTGTAACCCTAGATACACAAGAAACCAAGTAGGAGAATCAAAAGTTCTTGGGCTCAGGGGCTGGGGATTTAGCTCAGCGGCATAAGCGCCTGTCTTGCAAGCAGGCAGTCGTGGGTTCAATCCCTGGTACCGATAAAAAGGAAAAAGACCAAAAAAAAAAAAAAAAAAAGAATGTAAAAGTTCTAGGGCTCACTGGGCAACTCACAGTCTCAAAATAAAAAGAGCTAGGAATGCAGCTCAGCATTACAGCACTTGCCTAGAATATGTGAATCCCAAGGTTCACTCCCTGGTATCAGCAAGGAGAGGGGGAAAAACCCTGGAAAGTATAAACACACTGCTATGAGAAAAGGACTTAAAATCATGAACAAAATCACAATATATTAAAATGAAACACTGAAAAAAACAGCACATTTTGCTGGAGGACGCTAAGTGAAATGAGAAGCAATCACTAAGACAAAGGGGATCTGAACATATTACTGAAGATCCTACGTAGGTTCTTTTATTTATTGTTTTAAAAGACAGGATCTCATTAAGTTGTCCAGGCTGGCTCTGAACTAATGATCCTCCTAACTCAAGCAACCAAGTGGCCAGGATTATAGGAACATGCCACCATGCCCAACTCACTGTGTGTTGCTTTTTCTAAAGAGATATTTGGAGGTAAGGAGAAGTCCTGGCTTTCTGAGGAAGGGAATTAACCAGACCAAAACAAAATCTCAAACATCATAATAACTGATTTACTTTACAGACAAACCTAATGAAGTCAGAATGATGAACTCAGTTTGATTGGTTCCACCTGGTAGTAATGAGGAGCTGAAAGGTGACAGTAGTGGGTCAGGTATTTAGCTTGGCACCACAAGCACTGGTCTGGCAAGTAAAGGCCCTGAGTTTGATCCCTGGTATCCCTGGTGACAGTAGCAACAGAGCAAAGAAACAAGATTCTGCAGGCTGTTTAGCTCAACAGCATAGGCACTCGCCTAGCAAGTGTGAGGTCGTGAGTTCGATCCCCGGTACCAAAAAAGAAAAAAGATTCAGAAATGCCAGTGATGCAGGAGTTGTCCAGCGTAGATTTTTGAGAGCTGTATCAATAGAGTAGCATCAATAGAAAGAAAACTCAAACAGAAGGTGAGGGCGAAGGCAAGACACTAGAATGCAGGCTGCTCTGTTTCAGCATCTCACAAGAAGGTATGACCACTGGTGGGCAGTACTGATGACACTACGATGGATAGTAACTGAAAACAGACTGGGGGTCAGTTGAAATTCTGCTTCATAGCTATGGGTTCTGTGAGGGAAGGAGCTTCCGGATAGGAGCAACTGGTTTTGGTTTTGTTTGGATTCTAATCACTGCATACTAGAGAGGATGCCTTATTCTCACTGACATCACACTGTAAAGCCAAAAAATTCGGACAACTAACAAACACAAGCCATGGGGCTCCCGGCAGAGGAGCAAGTAGGCATCATTAGAATGGCAAACGAGAGACTCAGGTCCACGCCCCCTGCAGCCCCCTAGCCAGCCAGTGTTGACAGGCAGGACAGCTGTTTGAAGGCAGCTGTGTCTCCAACTACCACCCCATTCAAACAAGCACAAGTAGAGAGCAAGACCTAAGAAACATGAAAGGATTTTGATTTTCATACCTTTGTTTACCATTATGTTCTTTGTACCTTGAAAAAAATTATACACACACACACACACACACACACACTTTTTTTGGGGGGGGTACAGAGATCAAACTCACGACTGTGTGTTTGTAAGACAGGCACTTATACCGCTGAGCTAAATCCCCAGCCTCCTCAAAATATATTTTATATAAGGTAAGAAAGGTAGTAATGATAAAAATGATTATATAGTGGCTGGGATTGGTATACAACTTGATTAGTATACATGAAGTCCTGGGTTCAATCCCAAATCCCAGGAAAAAATATGAGTAAGAAAATAAACGTATCTTTCATAAATAAATAAATCTTAAGTAATGGATTATATAATGCTAGTCAGAATTTAACCATTTCTGCTATATTCTGCAGAATTTAACGAGGCTATTTATTCAAACTTGAGATAAAATGATAAATTTTGATTCCATACATAGAGTCTATAGCATACAGCACACATAAAGTTTAGTTTAAGAATTCTCAATGAATTCACTGCAAACAATAACAGTACTCATACTAACACCAAATTACAGACAATGCCAGAAGAATAAAAAATAGCAACAAAAGAATAAGTATGTTAATATTCTATGTGAAATAGTCTTCATTAGATGGAAGGTCTCATATTTATATTCATATTACAGTCTGATCACCTCCTCAGAGGAAACACTGCCAAAATTTTGAATTCACTTATAATTTGCATAAGCCTCCAGCAACCCGTGGCAAAAGCCCTATGACAGTAGTGATGAATTCCATGGTCCGGTTATGTCTAGTCTAGTCAGTGTAATTAATCTCCGTTCTCTGTTCCATTTATGATTTTGGGGGGAACATACTGGGGATGGAACTCATGACCTCAATGCTTCCTAGGCAGCCCATTTCCTATTAATCAGGACAACTGCCACATCATTCAAAAAAAAAAACCAAACCCATAGAGCTTCCCCTTGGTGGTGGTGGTGGTGCTGGTGGGGATCTTCCTAACTTCCAATTCCAGAAATGTATTTACCAACTAATTACATGACTCTATGTTTCTTGCTTTCTATTTTTGCTTCACAGATGCTGGAAGAAATGGAGACCCAGAATTGATTTTAAATGTTAGTCCTAATCCTCCCTGGGCTATATTTTAACATTTCTAGAAATCTCTGACAGTGTACTTCTTCAGTATATCCCTTAAGATCACCTAAGGGTATATACATACTCAAAAGAACTAAGACAGTATCACAGTGTCATCCTAGAGGCCCTTTCCTGAACAAGTAAAATATTCTTTGCCCTAAATACAACTCATTTCCTTTGTACTAGCCATCACAGGAATGTGTTTATTATGCTACATTTAATTCAGAAACACAAGATGCTATTTCTCACTTTTTGTTCAACACTGTATTGAAAGTTATGTATTAAGACAGGAATCAAAGAAATAATACGTTAGTAAAGGCATCATAATAATGAATACAGAAGGGGTCAGGGATACAGCTCAGTGGCACAAATGCCAGCCTTGCAAGTGCAAGGTCCTGAGCTCGAATCCTGGTATCTAAATTTTTTTTAAAAAATGATTTAAAAAAATGAATATAGAAACTCAGTGGGGGGCTGGGGGTTTAGCTCAGCGGCATAAGCGCCTGCCTTGCAAGCAGGCAGTCGTGAGTTCGATCCCTGGTACCAATAAAAATGAAAAAGACCAAAAAAAGAAACTCAGTGGGATTCCAAACCAAACAATAGTAAAAATAATAATGTGAAAAATCATATTCATTGTGACAATAAAAATATAAAATACTAAGAAATAAAATTGAAGGTAGGTTTTACATAAATGTTCAAGGAAAAGATGATTTAAATAAAGAAAGATAAAGACAAGTTTTAATGATGTAATTCTAGCTATGAATGGCTAAGTCAGGAAAAACACACATTACAGTTCAGTTTGGACCACATACAAAGTTCAAGGCTAACCTGGATCTGGAGAGAGGTCTCATATCAAAAAAACAAAACAAGACCAAAAAAAAATCCACACAAAACCCAAAAATACTAAAGTTAAATTAAAAAAAAAAATAAAAATAAAAATAGGGTCTGGAGATTTAGCTCAGTGGCATAAGCGCCTGCCTTGCAAGCAGGCAGTTGTGAGTTCGATCCCTGGTATCAATAAAAAAAAAAACGAAAAAGACCAAAAAAAAAAAAAAAGAAAGAAAGAAAGAAAGAAAGAAAGAAAAAAGAAAAAGAAAAATAAGTAAGAGCTGGAGGTGTCGTCCAATGTGCCTCCTAGGTTTGATCCTCGGTGCCACAATTTAAAAAAAAGAAAAAAACTTTATAAAAAGCCTTCCCCTACTAAAAAATAAAAGAATTGAAGTTTACACGTAGACAAATGACTTTAACAATCTATAAATCTAACAGCATTATTATCAAAATAAAACAAGATTCTAATTGAATGGGATTATAATGTAGAGTAACAATAATCAAAACAATGAGGCTCAGTGGCTGAGCATTTGCTTAGCCTACACAAGGCTTGGTTCAGTCGTTAATACCACCAAAAACAGGTTGTTCAGGACTGCAGAAACAGACTAGGAGTCTAAGAGCGTATATGTGAAATTTTAAGTATCACTGGGATTATGTAAACATTTACTAACACTTGTTCAGCACTTACTTTAGCCCAAGAACCAGCATAATAGACACTGTGACAAGGGTTTAGTAGCATTCCTAGTCTCTACTCAGAGGTGCCAATAGCATTTCATCTACCCACTCCGTGGTCAAGAACCAAAAATGGCTGTTCATTGTCTAACACTCCCTGGGAGACAAAACTGCCCTGGAGTTGAAAATTAATGTTCGTAGCATTTGCAATCAATTCTTGCTGGGGGGGGGGGGGCGGTATTAGAGATCAAATTCAGTGTATCACAGAACTACA